TTGATTTAAGTGTTTTGGATTTAATGATACAAGATATAATCTTATCAATTTATATTTTAAATTAAACATTAAAATTGAAAATACATTTATTTAAAACTTTTCTTACTATTATTATAAATATTTAATACTTATAGATTTTAAACATACTATAAATGAAAGATTTAAAAATAATAGTAGTTCTCAGAAGAATTTAATCTTTGGCAAAATATCTAAGATTCTATTATTTTAAGCTGATGCAATTATAGTAGTGGTAGCCAATTTTCAACATTGCCGTTAATTATGCAATACCCATTTTATCACTATTATTGTTTAAATAATATAAAATTTTGTATATTATTTATAGAATATATTACATAAATAATGCACAAAATTTTGTTCATTATAAAAATTAAGTTTTATTTGATAATTTAAATCTGTGTGAGACTATATTCTATAAAATGTTAAGAGGATATCTTTATTTTTGTTTAATGAAATATCTGAAAAACCTATTACATAAAAATTCCATTTTCAACTAAATTTTTACTTACTATTTCACTTCAGGTTTGAATATTTTAAAAACTTTTTGTACTATTTCCTTAAAAAGCAGATGGTTTGCAATATTAACTTTTTATTTAAGCTAGAAAGAACAGGTATTATTTAGTGTGCATTATTGAATGCTATAATTTAATAATAAATATATTAGAGTTATATTTATTATTAAATATATTATGAATTTAAAAATGAAGCAATTTAGTAAAATCTTACAGGCAATTATTTAGAGTGCACAGTAAAGACTTAAGTCAGAGATACAGAAACAAAGTAAATGAGAAAATTGCAGAGTATCACCAAATTAGTAGGAAATAACATTTCAGAGAAACAGAAGGATAGTCTGCATGTGCATAACTATGGTTCTTTGTGCATGAGCTGCAATACAACCAGTCTCTCTTAGCAGCTGAACAGCTCAACAAATAGTTCTTGCATATTTGACAGTAGGGAATTATAAGACATACTGTCATGTAGTTTTTCTAGCATTTTGTTCATACTTACTATATAGTAGTACTGTTTCATGATACACTTCATTGGTATAGCTTGCCATTATCTTTGAAACAGTACTCTTTGAAGGGCCATCTGATGTTTGATGATTGTTTGCTCATTGCCACACCTGCATTTTTATCTACAGGAACAGTGTTACATTGCAGCCATCTTTTGCACATAAGAGAATGTATTGCTCATATGCAAAGATGGCAATGTGCATAAGTTTCCAGCCTTTTATTTCCATCATTTATTTCTGCGAAAAGTCATTTCCTACTAATTTGAAGATGCTCTTCAACTTTTTCATTTTTCTTTTGTATTGTTCAGTTTCTGAGAACTTACAAATGATCAATCACTAGGGGTGCTATCATCAATCTCATCTGGTAGCACATGGTCATTTCAACGTATCAATACTTCATTTCCATAATTCTAGATATTTTGTTCAAAAGTTATTTGGATGATTTTGGGACTTTACTGTGCACTCTGTATATTTGTTCTGGAAAGTTTATATTGATAATATAAATATTTTCTCTAGTATTTTGTTAAAAAGTAATGGTTTAATATATTTCTTAATTACCAAAATATAGAATTAAAAAAAAAAATGATGAAAAAGAATAAGAAACATGACAATTATCTAAATTACATATATTGAAATTATTGAAAACTGTTATTATTCAATATGCTTAGTTTGTTTTGAAAATAAGAATAAGTATAAATTACAAATCCCATTGTAAAAAGTTCAAAAGCAAAGTTCCTGTCAAAGCTTCTCTGTATAGTTAACAACCTATATGCTGATTTATGTTATTTTGCACTAATTTAATACAAACATCTATCTATACTATTACAGTATATTTATTGCTTTTCATCATTCTTCTTTTCTATGTTTGGTTTGATGATTACACAAAACATTTTTATTCATTCCTAGAAACATATTTTACTCCATATATGTATGATTTAATGAAAATATGCATTAATATATCATAGTAATTTTATAATATGTACAAATATTAAATGAAACTGTTCAATGAGTTTCAAACTTTATTTCATTAGTTGATAATTTAAAATTAATTTTTCATTAAAAGCAATGACAAATGCAAAAAAACATTATATTCAGGTCAGTGCAGAAAAGTATTATAAGTTAGTAGCTTGATTATTAACACCGTTAATTGATGCAGCAATAAATTTTAAAAAATCATATATAATTGCAGTAAAATATTTAATATTAAAATTTTGTATAAGCATTGAACCTTGACCAGCAAAACATTTAAGATTAAAAAAGTCTCAGATGTTATTTCTAGGATGTTAATGATTTCTCAATAAATATAATTTTCAAGGAAATCTCAAAAAGTTTCATTGTATATCCTGCACACTTCCTTGAAAGTGACTAGTTAGAGTAATTTTAAAACAGCCTCTGAATAGAAAGATTCTTGAGCTTTTTTATAATGACCAAAATATCCTTTAAAATGATTTAAGTTAAAAAAAGATGCCAAGTGATCTGCTAGATTTTTATTTGGCTATATTAACACTAGTTAATAATCCAAAACAAAGAGCAATCTGGCTAGAGGTAGAGAGTTAAGCAGCCATTTTGTGACAAATTTAATAATTATAAACATAAATGTTTAATTTAACAAAAAACACACCATTAAAAATCCAGCAGAGAAAATTTACTTTGCTGGATTTTTAAAGGTGTGTTTTTTGTTGTATTCTATTTATCCAGTAGATACAAAATATATAAATTTTTAACTTTGCGTACTCTAGAAGAAAAAAACTCATTATGTAAACTGTAGTGCACTATGTGTTAGTTAGTTATACTACCTGGACCTCCATTTGATTATCTTCAGAGTTATTAATTAACTAAGTAATTTAGATATAATCATATTGGTCATTTATGGTGATGACAGGGGATGACTTAAGTCCATGGCCCTCCATGGCTCTCAGTTATATTAATTAGCTTTAATATAGCCTGACAAAAATCCAGCAGATCATTTGATATTACTAAAATATTGGGTTATGTATGTTGTTACAAAAAGATGTTAGAACATATTAAATTATTAGAAAACTATTATTATGCACTTCAAACTTTTGAAATGATTGTTTCTTTTAAAATAGTTTAAGTTTCAGTAGAATTGTTTTGGATTGGATGTGCATGTGTGCATGCATGCATACACAAACACGTTGTTTAAAGAAGACACTAGGAAAAATTGAAAATACTTACTTGTTAGTATTTTTAAACTCTAGGATAAAACTAAAAAGTTCAAGGAATCAAAATAGAAGCAAGTTTCTATGAAATTACACAGCCTATTAAAGCTATAAAATAAGTTTTATTAAATTATACTAATTTATCATTAACTTTTTATGTATTAAAGTGAATCATAACATACAGAAAATTTTTGTCCTTTGGAGCCAACTAAAATATATTGGTTCCAGAGATAATTAACTTTTTCTGAAACTTATAAATGAAATTTTATTAATCAAAGGATGGTTTCAAATGAAATATTTTGGAAATGTAATAAATTAACAGGGAGTTGTAATTAAAATGATATTTTTGCAAAATTATATTCATAGACTAAATACTTGTTTATAGGTTGTTTGTTTAAATACATACTCATAAGGTTTTTCACTAATTATAAATTAATAAAATATAATAATACTAAACTAATGTAATGTTCGTGCTACATAAATTTAAAAATAGTTACAAATTAAAAATTCTTAGTCTGTTGAATATCATTATTAAATTAATCCTAAGAGTTTAAAGTCATTAAAATCAGAATTTATTACAGTAATTATGGATATTGAATTTTGAAAGAATTTAATCATTGTATATACTGTATATACCAGCATTTAGGGTGACTTTTTAAGCCTAAGAAAGTGTTCCTAAACTTAGGGGTCAACTTATGTAGCGGATATAAAACACACAGAATGGTAAACAAGTGGAACAACACTGTTAATAATTGCTATGTATTAATTAGCGTAACTACAACAAGCCACCACCAACATTTTCAACTAAAACTCATATTTGATGAACTTATTTAACATAAAGATTAATATACTAATAAAATTTTAAAATATAAATGAACATGATACTATACATTTCCAACAGCTGATACACTATTTATATATCACTGATGTAAATGGCAGAGCATATGCAAAGGCATACTAGAGAACTGTATATCATATGTATAAGTACTATTGTGGTATTATGCTGCATAAACTATTAAAATTTTATTGAAAGTGTTGATTCTTGCTTGATTGTTTTACCAATAGGTCTTACAAGTGCCTAGAGTTCTTGCCAATATAACTTAAGATTTTTAGTGGTTACTTATGTCCTACATATTTCTTGTTTCTCACATCCCTTTCTATATGACCTACATAATATATTTATCTTATAATGAAAGATATTACAGTTAGCATTATAATAAAACTACACCATTTTCATCAAATAAGTTTTTGCCCTAGGCTACTGGATATTGTATTCACATTTCATTCTGGCTATCAGTAGCTTATCATATATTTATGGGTTGACATATACAGTATGCCAGATAACTTATAAGCTGGCATAAGGTAACTATTTTTATATAAACTTCAAAAATTTGTATTAATTTGTAAATTACATTATTTTTCCTGCATTTTATGAGCTTGTGATATCATATAAAATGTGTATATTAATATTAAAAGTAATAATGTTTGTTTATAAAAATGGATGATAATTTTAAAAATCAATAGTGGTTTTTTCTTATACAAAAGACATTTCTTAATTTAAAAAATCTAAATTGCCACATATTTACAAAAATAAATTCTTATTAAGAAACCTTTAAGCATTAAAATTTCTGAATTCCATCATTATATGAAAGTTAGAATAATTATTTTGCAATAGGAATATTGTTAAAGAAATCATTTTATGATGAATTTAATCATATCATTATATTATTTTTATATGTTTCTTGGTTTATAAAGTTTAAATAATTCTAATTTATTTTATTTATGATTAGGATATGAATTTAATTGAAATTTTATGGAAGCAAGATATTGATCTTGGAATAACTAAAGATGCTTTTGATTGCCGAGGAGGAGGAGAAGTGAGCAAAACAAAACAGAATGAGAATTCTGTAAAACCAGAGGTAAGAAATAAAATACATTTTAAATTAAATTCTTTACTTTAATTAAACTAATCATATACAGAATTTTCTGTGTATAATTTGTAAAACCGAAAATAAAAAGTGAAGAAAAATTAATCATAAAAGTGTAGTCATAAAATTTCAAATTTATTGTATTAATTATAACTGTTGAGTTTTTTAAATAATTCAATTATTGCATGTACTATAAAATTGATAAACACTTAAAAACTATGCCAAATGAATATTAATTAATCAATATATATGTACTGTCTTTTGATGTTAATGTACCTCAATTTTTATGGACACAAGTACTTTCAACATTGAATAAATGTCTGTTTTCAGGTGAAATAGAACATGTTTTAAGAATAAAATTTAACAGAAGCATTTTAATGAGTTTTAAATAGTTCTTAATTGAATTTTGCACTTGCCTGACGATTTTCAAAGAGAATGTATAAAATTATTTTTGAAGGCAAGTAAAATTGATATGACATGAGCTATGTATAAAAAAACAGAAGAGGAAACACCAAGGAAATATAAAAACATAAAGAAATTAAAATTATAAATTACAGTGTAAAATTTTGAAAAGCAACAACCATAAATCTGGGATTTCGAACATATGCTTATTGCAAGAGCTTAATGTTGTTATATAAAAAGTCTCCCAGAGGAAAATAACTTTATGATCTGTACATTGTTAAAGTAGGGAGGCTTCCAACCATAATGTTATAAAATTATGTTTCAATACTTTCCTGGAGAGGTCAATGAAAAGCCTACTTTTTAAGATGTCATTTTGGTGTTCTTCAAAATGATTTTTTAACTTTCTGGTTGTCCCTATATAGAAAATTTTTAAATCAGAACTCAAACCTTGCATAAGGATCATATAGACAACTGATTCTAGCTCAGAAAATTTATCCCTGTCATTACAAATAATTCCATGCAGAGATACTGCATAGAATTATTTGTATGCAGTTCTATGATTTGATAGGAAGAATTATTCTATATATTCTGTTTTAGGCATTCTTATAACAGCTTTCATTAAACATTTATGAAAGCAGTTATAAGAACATAATTAGTCCTTTCGAAAAATTTTAGAACATATAGAACAGGCTATTTGAATAATCTTGAATATATGGTAGCTTGGTAAAACTATAATTCTTATTAGAGAGGTTGCGGCCGACGTTTTCATTGCAAAATCCTGTACGTTGGACGTTCAGCGCCTCCTTCCTGTAAGCCTAGAAGTTTGACAATGACGTTTGAACATCAGTGGAACGTCGGCTGCAACCTCTATTATTTCACCTTTAGAATTAGAAGGCCTCTGAATGAAGCCGAAAACAAACATTTATGGTTGAAAATGTTAATGTGGTGGAAGTTGTGTATTAAGTGTAAATTAGTTAGAAATTAAGTAAATTTGCATTATTTAGTATAAATTTTTAACAAATTTGTAACAAAAAGATGATAGATAGTAAAGAGGCTAAACTGGAATATAAGAATATGAATGTAAAGTCAAAGAAAAACATGAAATAATAATAAAACATATTGAAGAAATACAAAAACAACATACATTACTTACTATTGTAAATACGTACAATAAAAAAATAATTAAATAAAACCAAATGACATATTTCATGTCAGGCAAATCAGAAATACACTATTTATTAATTCCATATAAGTTATTTGAGAAATTTGAGTTAAATATGTTGTATATGAAAGTTTCTAATGTAATATTTAAATTAAATGCATATGAAAGAGTATAGAATATTATTTTATATAAATTACATATTACATTATAACCACTTTCATAAAATGTTTAATGAAAACAGTTATAAGAGTAATTAATTGAATATGAAACTAAAACAATGATAAAGTTATTGAATTAAAGATTATTTAGTATCAGTTTCTAATTTAAAAATGCTGAATTTTGAATACAGATGTTAGAGAAGAANTACAGTAATGTAATATAAATGATATTATTTTATAAATTGTCATTATTAAAACAAAAATAGATAACTTTTTATTTGATATATACTTCATATGATAAGCGTAAAGTACTTTTTAAATGTAGTCAAGCTTCCAGTAATGGTCACCTCTAAATGGCATTTATTTTTTTCAGGGACTTTTTTAACAGATACAAAAACAAAATAATCTCCAAACAATAGTCACTTCCAAAAATGACCTCAACCACTAAAAATTTTTTAAAATTTTTCATCAACAATCATTGCCTTCAAAATGGCACAGAAAATAATAATCCACTGTATAAAACTAGTCATTATTGATGAGATGGCAAGTTTTTTCATGTTGGTTAATTTTCTTAGAAAAAAATAGAGGATTAACTACATTTAACATTACATACAATCTCAAAACTTTTGTACAAAAGACCTCAAATGTGCAGAGAACTCCTAAAAACATAGAAGTAGCATACAGTAAAAAGTTGATTTGACTTACATTAAAACATGTGAAGAAAGAACATTGCTTCCTGCCAGTGGTGCTAATTAAAAAGTTTAATACCATGGACTGACTACACTTTAGATGTTTTTTAAGAAGAATTTTAAGAAATTTTTAAATTATTACTGTTTGCAGAGAACACTGTTTCCATCTTTTTACATATTTTAACATAGATTGTAGCTTACAGTTAAAGATTGATATACATTGTTTTTAGTTCTCAAAAGATGCAGAATGAAACATTAAATGGATGAAAATGTTAGTATTTAGTAAATTTGTTGAAGTTTTAACTGGTATTGGTGTCTATGTGAGGTTTTTCTAAAGTATAACCAGTTTTTAATGTGGAAACTGTTGTAATAAATAAAATTTTTCTTCGATTTACGTGACCTGTGCAATTTTCAGCCCACCTATAAACAATAGAAATTTTTCTGTTTGTTTCTGTTACTCTTACTCAGACTTTGACTATATTTTAATATTTGAGATTAAAAGCTTTCTTTTTATTTGAACATTTTTTTATAAAAATAAAATATGATGTTTAAATATTGTTTTTATAAATTTAATAATTGAGTTCATTTTGAGAGTGAATTTAAATATAAATGTCACAGTTTAAAAACATCAGTACTTACAGAAGTAAAATTTAATTATTTAGTTAATGTTTTCTGCAGTTCCTGGTTCTATCTTTAGATTTTAAAATTAGCAGAATATATATTTGAACAGTTTAAAATTTGAAATGCTTATTTTATTTTTGATGATTTAAATGTTACATTTAGTTGTGCAAAGTGCATTATATTATGTAAATGAATAGTGATCTGATATACTTAATAGTCTGATTATATTCTATTAAACTTAAGATCTAAAGACAGCCAAGAAGTTCTCATGATAAGAATTTAATACAGTAGAGCAGCGCTGTCCAACTTATCATAGCCCGTGGGCCATATTTTCTTTACCAAACATTTCGGGGGCCAAGAAGGTTGATAAATGAAAAGTCAGTTGATGTTAATTATACTAAATAGTACCTACTTTACGCAAACTAAATAGTACCTACTTTAAATTCAAATTAGATTTAAATTTTCACATAGTAAAATAATTTTAATATTAATAATAATAATTTAGTAACATAAATTTATTCATAGTAAAATGTACTCGCGGGCCGTAAAAATTATTTGACAGGCCGTATACGGCCCGCGGGCCGCCAGTTGGACAGCCCTGCAGTAGAGCATTATCTGAAAAATCTGTTAACTGAAATCAACTTCAAAGAATACTAATTCCAGAAATTTCAAGGTTTTTATGCAATAATAATTGATAGATCCACTATTAAGCTATCTCATTATAATTAATTTTACTATTAAGTATTTTATATTTTGAATTCAATTTCCTCAGTACACTGTAAAGAATGGTGCTTGTTTTTAATAAATTTGACAATTTTTTTGTAATTGTATGTCATTTGTATATATAAAATTTCTGTATTTTAATCAGTTTTTACTATTTTACTAGAAACTTTCTTCATGATATTTATCTTATTAATCTTTTTCCACTAAGTGTGATCAATTATCAAAAAAATCAGTTATCCAAAAATTCCTGCTTTGAATATTTCCAATAACTGTTGCTCTGCTGTAATTATAATTGACTTTTATAACTTTTATGGTTTATAAAAAGAAATATTTTCAAAAAATTCACTTTAAAATCAGCTCGTAGAATCAATACTCATAGAAGTCAACCTTAGTTCTATAGATAGAGGATGAAGTTTTGTTTTTAACTTATGAGTGATTACTTTCAAAAATTATTTGAATTAAATGTTAGAGGTTTTTTAAAATTGGAATTTTAAAACAGAATTTAACAGATTATTTTAATGAATTTTATTTAAGAAAATTTAAATATTTTTGTAAACATAACTTGAGAAATAACTAATTTGATATAAAGAAAATAAAATTCACTATATATTCAGCATTTTCATTTCAAATCATGCATGAAAATATTGATTTTGTTGCTATTAATATTGCAATAATATAAAGATTATTTTTTTAAAATAGCTTTTTTTTAGTCATTTATTGAACCTAAATAATTTTGATGTGGATTTGGTGTTTAGTTTGAAAAATTTACTTCAAGCTTATGAATTAATTTCCAAGAGTGCAAGGATTTATGATTAATGTAGATGTATAAAATATATGATAATATCTTTTGAGATATAGGACATATAAAAATAACTTCTAGTTTTTTTCAAATGAATTATAAAAACCTATATTAATGTTTAATTCAAAGCCTGTATGCATGTTCGTACAGTACATTACAGTTAATGCATACAATTAATAATAAGTTAATACACACTTATTAAGTTAATATACTTTTATTAAAATGCAGTTAATAAAAGTATTAGAAAAAAACTTAATTTTTGTAAAAAAAATTAAGTTTTTTTCAAGAATCTTAAAATTTTATTTAGAAGAAACACAAATTTAATTGAAACCTAATTTATAAGGAAATAATTCACAATATTTTCACTTATATGATATGGTTAATTTATTGAAAGATTTGATAGTGTTTATTAGAATTTGGATGAAATAGTTTAATTGAAAACAAAGAAGAGA